GACAGTGGCACTTAAATACTGGGAAATTGTCCTAACATGCTAACCACAGGGGTAAAACACAATTGATCTTCATCCTTTGCAGATTCTGTATGTGTAAATTCGTGATTCACTACAATTTATTTGTAATCCTTAAATCACTGCTCACTGTGCTTTCTAGGTCATTCTTAGACATGTGCAGGCAGTGAAAAGGTGACTTCTCCCAATGCACCTGTTCCTGGATGACGTCAGGCAGAGCTCAGCCTTCCCCTGTGAGCTCTCATACTGTAAACATGCTCCTCAGTGCTATGTCTTTACACTGTTTTCCTTTGGGTTGGTGATTTCTCTATATAAAATGATCCCCAAATGTGGTGCTGAAATGCTGTCTGTTATTCCTAAGTGCCAGAGGCACTTAGACACAACTTGGACATGAGCTCAATGTTAATGAATTAACAATATATATTAAATAAGATGTCTTGGGCCTCCCTGATGGCACAGCGGGTTGAGCGCCGCACTGTGAAGCTGTCTGCAGCCTCTGCAGCACAGGTTTGATTCCTAGCCAGCCAGGGAGATACCCACATGGTGCGACAGACCTCTCCTGCCTTGCCCACTGCTCCCCTCAGCAGTGTCTTGGGTCCATCTGCCTCTTCTGCTCCCTGCTCTGTCTCTGGTGAATTCTCTCACCCTCCCGTGCCTCTGACTGTACCCCAGTTCTTGTATAAATAAATAAATATTTAATAAATAAATAAGATGTCTTTAAACAGAAACATTTCAAAAAAGTTCTCATTGATCAGCTAACAAGAATGTGGTGATGGTAGGCTCACAGCATCCAACCCTGTGCTTCCTCTAGGTGCTATGATTTAATATTCCTGAATCAGCTTTGCAGTGGTAGACTATGATAACCACAAGGAATGAGGCCCAACTGTACATGTATGTGCTTTTCATACATGAGTACATCTTAATCCCCACAAAGTGTTATCTTTTGTTTTACAGATAGAGAAATTGAGGTTACGCATGGTAGATTATGTGACTTAGACTAACATGGAAGTGGCAGGATTTGAGTCCATTTCTCCCCAGTGCCTGGAGGGGAAGGGGAAGCACCAGTTCTGAGGAGAAGGTACTGAATCACAGCTGCTGGAAGGACTCAGGGAGGGCTGAGCTTAGCCAACACCATATCTGAGAAAGGAGGGTTAAAGAATGGACATAACACTTTAGATGTGGTCTGCACTGGTCAGACCCATCTAAGACAGGTAGGAAGAGATAATCTACAATCAACACGGAAGAGAGGCCCCAGAACGGAAGAGTCCTGGCACCAACCACATCAAGAGAGGAACAATGGAAGAAATGGAAATGGTTCTGCTTCCGAGGATAGCCTGGAGGCAAACTCGAGGGCCCCTTGTATCTCTGAAGAGCTGTCTGCACGAGGAGAACTATATGGGATGCAGATCTAGTGTAGTAAGTTCAAAGTTACAAGGAGAGATTCAGACTCAGTGCAGGGAACACTCACACAAACCCAGGTTGGGAAGTGATAGTTCACAGGCTGAATCAAGCTGCAGACACGTTTTGTTGGCTTGCAGTGTTTGTTTAAAACTTGTATTTAAATGCCCACTGTGAGGTGGGGTGTGTGCTGTTGTGCCCATAGCCTGCTCCACTGCCTTTTAGCCCCACACTCATAGGTTGCTCTTGAAGTAGGGTTGATGGATTTAGTAAATAAAAATACAGGATACACAGTTAAATTTGAATTTCAGACAAATGGCAGCTGATTTCTTAGCATTCTTAGAGTAAGTATGACCTGGGCAACGCTTGGGATGTACTTACAATGCGTCCCTTATTTATATCCCAATGCTTGGGGTTAACTAATACTGTTCCATATTTATTTCTTTTTTCTTTTTTTAAATTAATTTATTATTATTATTTTTTAAATTTTAGATATTTTTACATCATTTTTCATTTTTGCACAATGTATGCATTTTCATCTTGGTTACAGTCCCCAAAAAATTCCCACCCCCGCTTGTTTTGATCCTACTCCCTCCTCCCTGCCCTGTAGTGTGTCTCTGGTTTATAGTTGCTTGCTGATTTTGATTTTCACTTTATTATCATTAGTCTTTTTCCTAGTCCCTTATTTAGGTTTTCTACCACCGTTCTGTATTTAATCTGGCAACCCTACCCTACAGGTTTTATACTTGAGACCCTGATGTTACATTTTGAAGAAGTAGACTCCATAGTTGGGAAAGATTCAGAGGAATGCGCAGAATGGAAACAGGGATAAAAATGTCTAAATGGGACCTTACCTTATTTCCTTGAGATCCCTCCCTCCCATTTCAGAACAATAAGACCATAAAACGTTGAGGGAGATACCTTGGAAAAACATTCCCCGTGCTGTTTGGTTGTGCTTGAACAGCAGAATGTTCTACCAGAACAGGGATTGATAGAGTGATAAGGACATAGTGTTTTTAACCTCTAATATCAATTGCTAGTAAAATTTCTTTAGCTAATATTGATTAAGTAATTGATGAGCCTATAGCTGAGGAGAATGGTGGTAATCTCACTGTGAATCAGGGCATGAACGAGCAGGCATATAATATCCCCAAATGATAATCCTGCTTTATCTCTCAAAAGCCATCTTCTACTTCTCTGAGACTGCATTAGTCATCCTGACATTTGTTTCCCTATTCTGTTGCCAGAACTGCTTCTCTGCTTGTTTTGAACAGACTGTGACAACTCACTAAGGACTGGAACGCGGCAGCAGTTGACGTGAGAAGAGGCTGATGCTAAGTCACTGTTAACACCGCCGTGGTTTCCTCAGCAGAAAAGGTGGGGTAGGGTCTCTGAGGCCACTTCTAGAAATTGTGTCTCTGAAAATGAGTGTCAGTAGTGTTTGGTGATCAGGTAGTTATTCATCGTTCCTTCTCTGAACTTGAGGGATATGGAGTGCTTATGTTTGAAGGTGCTTGAGCTAGCAAAAGAGGCTTCATCTCCCTCCTTTTAGAGACGAGGAAGTTTCACGGTACGATGGCAATGCCTCGAGTTCCTTAAGCTCAGCAAATGACCACACATTCCTCCTCCTTGGTTCATGGTAAGACTCCTTCCCCACCTCCCCCACAACAGTTTACTCAGTTTTCTCAGAGTCCCTCACTTGAAACAGACAAATGGGAAACCTGAGGGAAGTTAACAAAATAAAAATATTTGAGGTAGAGAATATGTAGCAGACAGTATACTCAGAGCATATCCTTAGCAATTCTGGTCTGTTCGGCTTGGGAAGATTTCCTAGGAGATACGGGCTTTGTCATCTTTTTTATTTTTTATTGTTTTTTTTTTTTTTTAACTGAAGGAACATTGGTTTACAACCCTGTATATGATTGAGATCCAGGTTCACACCTCTTCATATTGATGTTACCATACCCTCCCCCTAAGCACCCACTGTCTCCCCCAGTCTGTTGATACTCTCCCCACTTCTACTCTCCCCCTCTTGAAGCCTCCTTCTATAGTCAGATGTCTACATCGTTTGTTTTGATTTTGCCTGTTCCTTGTTTTGTTTCTCTATATTCCACACATGAGTGAAGTTATGCAATATTTGTCTTTTTCCTCCTGACTTATTTCACTTAGCATAATCCTCTCCAGTTCCATCCATATTATTGCAAATAACAACAGTCCATTTTTTAAAATAGCTGAGTAGTATTCCATTGTGTATATATACCACATCTTCCTAATCCACTCTTCTCTTCTTGGGCACTTAGGTTGTTTCCATAACTTAGCTATTATAAGTAGTGCTGCAATAAACATAGGAGTTTTGACATCTCTTTTAAAGACAGTGCAGTCAGCATGTCCCCAGATTCACTTGGATGCTCACTCAGTATTCTGTTTTATTTTAAGGATTTATTTATTTATGCATACAAGAACTGGGGTAAAGGCCAGAAGTGCAGGGGGTGAGAGGATTCACCAGAGACAGAGTGGGGAATAGAACAGGCAGACTGACTGAAATACACTGCTGAGGGGAGCAGCAGGCAACTCAGGAGAGGTCCGCTGCACCAGCTCCCCGTCCAGGGATTGAGCTCATGCTGCAGAGGCTGCAGATAGCTTCACAGTGCTGTGCTTAACCCCTTGCACCACCAGGGAGGCCCATCACTCAGTATTCTTTATGATGTTGTGTTTCCCTCTTCATCAAGATTATATAGAAAAAAATCTCTAGGTTATTCAAAGTAAGGAAAATTCCATTTCAACTATGTAAAGTGGGGGCAAATTATTGACTATGTCCTTTTTTTAACATAAAAACTGAATTTAAGGGTGAAGAAGTAACTGACACAGGAGTCCCTGGATCTTTAACAAGGGACTTTGGGTGATGTACGGTCTTTCTATTTTTATTAGTCCTGTTTTCACTCATCTATAATTGATAGGTATTCTGTCTCCTCAATCAGACCTTCAGGATCTGACTGGCCTTTCCACCTGGTAAATTTATCTGGGTCTTGTGCTTACATTATGCATACAGATCCCCACCATTATGTGTTGATTGGGTTGAGCTGGAGATAAATGGAAAAGCAGCACTATGGACACATAAAAATCCTAGATCAAATTCTGGTCCCTCCATTCACCAGCTGTTGAACTTGGGCATGTTTTTCATTTCTTTACTCCTGCTGCCTTATTTAAATGCAAATAAACCACTTTTCTTACAAGGTTGTTGTGAAAAGAAGATGGGATGACAAGGGCACTCAGTAAATGCAGCTATTATCATCGCACCTATTGAATCAATATAAAACTTAAGCAACAAGAACCACTTTGTGGCAATATGACTTTTGAAACATTGTATCTGGCACAAAGATACATAATGGTAATCTGAAGGATGAGTAGCTTTGTGTAATTGCCCAGTGTGGTGGACACTACTTTGCTGGACCCTAAAAATGTTTAAAGAGAGGCATGAGAGTTAATGCTGGGATGCACATGAATTGTTTTACTTACGATACCTACTTGGGTGACAGGCCAACCAGCGGTTGGCCCCCAGGAAGAAGCTTCTGAATGAATCCGTGTCATTATTCTATAATGTGGCAGAAAGATTGGACAGCTGGGGAAGCTGCTTCCCATTCAATGGGCTTCTGGTATCCTTTCTTGTCCAGGAGGCACTGTCTGTTGTGGTAGTTGGGCAGCTCATAAAAAATCCAGGCACTGCCCAGCACCTTATAGGCATAGACGAAGATGGAAGGGCCGTCTTCACTGGTTTCATTCATCTGATCATTAAAATCCCTTTTCTCAAAGATCTGAATCTTATGCTTCCCTCTGCTAGACTGGAAAACACAGGAGGAAATGAATAGTAACCCTGATGGAAATCACCAGCAGATCAAAAACTCAGAGAACAGGATGGATCAGAACCCACCATTTTGAAAGTCAGATTATCTCTGCTTCATAAAAAGCTGACTTTCAATAAGAAAACTTTAATTCCTTAAAATACTCAAGAAATAAAACTCTTTGGAAATAGTATATTCAGTCTTGTGGTGAACTGACCTAAGATTTTTATTGAAGTCTCAGAAGCCAACAGAAGACAACCACCATTACCTTAATTAAGAGGCAGGACAACCTTAAGAAAACACTTTCATATAAAACCAAAAAAGGGAGAGGGAAGAGGAGGAGAGAAAGCGCATTTCCCACCTACTAGGTGAAGATCTCTGCCAGGGCCCAGGCCCCAGTGTTCAGAGATCCGCCCAGTGTTCAGAGATCCGCCCAGTGTTCAGAGATCCTGAGGTAGGATGCACACATCCCAGCAAAGTTGGGCCTCATAAACTGCCCAGGTGCTACCTTCTACTCTAATGGAGTTGCAGAGACTCAGGCACATGTGAAAAGCTGCAGTCACAGGCACAGACATAGCGGCAGCCTCAGAAATTTTTTTCTTTCTAGAAAGTCATCTAAAGTATTGGGCAAAGAGAACTGAAGAGTTGGAAGCCTTTATTCATAGATAAAATAAAAATTAAGAAGATATTACCTATTTTATTAATTCCTGTTTCCTCAGTTTTGAGGAGAAAGTATATAATCTATCTCACCTCACAATATTCACCTTCTGGGAAACAGCTTTAGCTGTAACAGGACGAGTACTTTCTGAAAGCTTAAAAATGAGGCAAAACAAGAGTATGTTAAGCCAGCAGCTTCAGACTCATTTCCTTGCTCCTCCAGCTCACTGTACTTATCACATTATAAATTATCCACTTACACGTCTGTCTCGCCAAGCAGGCTCCTACTAGACTTCCTCAAACGGCAAGGACGAAGTCTTAAAGCTCTGGACCCTGGGCCTAGATGTGATAAACCCGCAATCAATGGCTGATGAAGGTATGCAAGGCCCACATGCAGAAATTCATTCTAGGTGATTTGGAAGATGTATAGAGAAAAACAAAACAGTCCTCAGCTTTAGAAAGCTTATTTTAAATGAAAGGAGAGCACATACACATGAATATATATATTATGCTCTGTATTGTTTTCTTGCTAACAGTTGCAAAGTAGCAAACGACATGGCAAGAAATCTCTTTACTTCACTCTCTTACCAAGCTCCTACCACCATCTTTGGAGTAAACCTCTGATGACACTGGAGAATGTGTGCAGTCCTGCACTCTAGCCACATCTCCACAATCAGTCCTACTCCTATAGTCAAGCCATGTCTCTGGGCTCCAGCTTCTTGCTGTCAAATGAAAGCACTAGACAAGATTGGAAACTCTGGTTGTAAAATGAACTGTTTTTCTCTTTGAAATGGGAGACAGGATCCTCAAAAATAGCACTCAGGAACTCCTAGGGCTTCATGAAGCAGTTTCTTAAAACTACCAGACCAAATGGACCGCAGAAATTGCCCCTTCCCCAATCCGAGGTCAATGCTAGGTTTGAATAGAAGCTGAAATCACAGGTGGCATGCAGGCTGATGGTTGATTCTCTGGTGTTATGCTGCCACCTCGTGGTTATTTGTGTTATGGATTTCAAAGGCGAAAACCATGTCAGCCATTTCAGATAAGAGGCTCAGAGCCAGGCGGAGTCTCCAAAGGATCTTGGCGCTGAGGATTGAAGGATAAGCCATGGTTTTTCAGAGGCAAAGAAGAAGGGGTAGCCCAAACAAAGGAGTGAAAGAACATCACTCATTGCAGAGACAAGTAGTTCATTAGGCCTGGTGCACCCTGAACATGTGGTTAAGAATTAAGAAAGCAAGCCAGAAAAATGACCTGGAACCATGCTAGAATCGCTTTGGTTTAAGTGGGAGATGAAATGTAGTGGTTTGTGTCGGCAGACAGATGGTTGCTGTGGGGGAGGTGGAAGGTGATGATGGTCACCAGAAAAACAACTGCAATGTGAGTGATGATGAAGAAACAGTCAAAAGAAATGTAGGCTTTGATGACTAAATTAGATGTAGGCAATGAGAGGAATGACTTGCAGATATGCATAAAACCTCATTCCTTTCTAGCGCAAGTGATTCTTCCCAGATAGTAAATTACTACTAATTGTTTCCTTCCACTTTAATCGTTCCTCTTCTCTGCCCTTCCCATTTCTCTCAACTTACCTATTTCCTGTTTCCTAAAAGCTTTCTTCCCAGCCCTAAATGAGCTACTTCATCTCCTTTCTTCCCTTCCCTGGCTTATTATCTCTTCTCCATCCCTTTCCTGTTTACACAGTGCAGATGCAGAGTTAGTTGCTACCCTAACTAACTAAACTAACTACCTTAGTTAGTTTACAGATGAGGAAAACAAAATCTCAGCTCCACTAGTTACTAGCTCTGTGACTTGGATAGGCCATTGAACTTTTCTAAACAGCTGTTTCTTCACTCATAATGAAGTGGAAAATGTCTTAAGTTATGTTGAAACAAAGCCTCACAATAGACTGAAAGTTTCAGGGAATAACTGATAAAGCATCTCAAGGCCACATGCCTAACTCATATACCCCAGATAACCGCCTAGAAGTCTCCTGCTTCTGTAGCCCAGCTGGCTTTAAAGTGATAAGGTACCCCTGTTTTAGGCAATAAATGTCCTGTTGCCTAATTGCTCAGGGCTTGGACTTTGAAGGATCTTCTCTGAGCCCTTTGGTGCTAACAAAGAGCTTCCCTCCTCCTCTCTGAGTGCTGCTTGGTTTCCTGACGGGATTTCTGCCATAACAGTAATACTGGATAACAACATCCACTGCAGAGGGCTGTTTTGAGGATCAGTGGGATAGTGGATTTAGTTTAATACCTGGCTCAAAATTTGCCAATAAGCTTTTGCTATAGTTGTCACAGATAAAGAAGTTAAACAGCTTGCTTAAGGTGATTAGCTAATTATGAGTTAGGTATGGACAGGCCAGTGAATGTCAGTGCAAAACTCCTGGTTAATAACCTTTGGTTTACTTCATTTTACCATGTCTCCCTCTGCTGTCTTCCCTCCCATTCAGCTGACTCTGATCAACACGCAGCAGGCACAGAATCAGAAACAGAACAAGACTGACCTGGACCTGAGGGGTTTTCCCTAAACCTGTGGAAAGACCTTTAGGAAAATCAAGGCAACTTTTCGAATGGATAGATTGTCAATGCAATTTACCTTTGGCCAGTTATTCACCCAAAAAGGGATGTGCTGCAGGAAGATATGTTTTACCTCACTGTTTCTCACATGTAGTCCCCTCTGCATGTTTGCCCGACACCAGTATCTGAGCAGTGGAGATGCACAGCGTGTTCTATAAGGCCACCATGTTGTCACCCTCCTGGCAGACCAGGCAGCCTCCCAAGGTTAAAGCAAAGCACTAGTGTTGCCTTGGAACCATTACCAAGCTCCAGGATGAAGCTCTGTGTAGGGTAAAGAAAAAAATGTCAGGCTTTTCTGCCCTCCCGCCATCAGGATAGATGATGGATCCTTGCGGTCCTGAATGCATGCCTGATGGCGGACACCTGGAATAGGGTGTGGGCAGCTATAGATATAATTCACCTGGGCTAAGACTGGGCTTTTTAAGGGCGGTGTCATGAGGACGCCAGTAGAAGCCAAAAGAGAAGCCGAGAACCAACAGAAGCAGGAGAGCAGAGCAGAGAGAACATGAGAGAACGGCGGAGAGCCCAGATAGAGTGACGACTTGCTGGGGGCTGGGAGGCCTGCCAGCCTCCTGGCCCCCCAGCACCCCTGCCTGCCATATGCCTGGTAAATCCCAATAAAAGACCTGCAAAAGCCACTGAGGACTCTGACTCCTCCTTTACCCGGTCTGCTGGATCAGAAAACCTGCTCAGTGTCCTTCCTGCTCCTATACTGCTATCAAGAAGAGACTTTCCAAAATCTCAAGACCCAGAGAATGTTGCAACCAGCCTACACTCAATTCCCTTTTGCAGAAGGGTTGTGAAATCCTTCATGAAGCAGTTGAGAGGTTTTAGATTCTTGGGAAAAACATTTTGTTGAGGCCTCCCCGGTGGCGCAGCAGCCTCTGCAGCGCCGGTTCAATCTCTGGCCACCGGCAAGGGTCTCACATGGTGCACAGACCTCTCCTGGCTTGCCCGCTGCAACCCTCAGCAGTGTATTTCGTCAGTCTGCCTGTTCTGTTCCCCGCTCTTGCTCTGGTGAATTCTCTTACCCTCCTGCGCTTCTAACTGTACCCAGTGCTTGTGTAAATAAATAAATAAATCTTTAAAAAAAAAAAAAAATTTTGTTGAGAGGTTTTAGACTCTGGGGAAAACATTTTGTAGAGAAGACTAAAACATGTGGTGACTTTCCTAGAAATTATTAGAAAATTCCTCTCATTCTCAGATTTCAGAAACTAGCCTGTTAATCCAATACAGCAGAAAGAAAAATGTCAAGTATTCCAGAGTGACAAAAAACAAACTCAGTAAAATGCATGGCCCTTGTTAAGCCCATAACTCCTCTATTAAATTGCTAACAAGACAGCAGGAAAGGGAGAAGCAATGAGTAAGAGAATAATTTACTATCTCCTTTGGCCTAGCCAGCAAACAGTACTAAATTAAATGAAGGAGCCAGCTACAAGTAATAAAAGAGTACATCTCTGGAGATCTTTGAAAGCAGGGGATGTTTTCATCTAAGATGGTTCTGTAAAAGCTTTCCCTCAAGGCAAGAGCATATTCCTCAGAAAACCAAATTCTTTTGTGGACTTGCAAGGCACATGTTCAAAAATCTCTGAGGGCTGAAGACGCCATCTTGTTTCCCCCCCTCAAAACCTTATGAATGATGAGTATGATTATTAGTTCTAGTTCCCAAATGAAAAAAAAAATCAGGCACTAGCTAATTAGAAGCAAGTTAGCAGTTGCCTCCTGCAAAGATGCAGTGGGAAGAGCTCAAGGCTGCCAGTTCAAGTTCTTGCCAAACGTGGTTACTCTGACTCTAAATAGAAGGAAACAATGTCAAATCCCTATTTCAGGATTGTCTAGAGCACCTGTGTGGACTTTGAAACATGCCAATGTCTCAAAGTGGGGAGACTGTTATAGTAGGCTAAGTAATTATCAGGCTTTCTGCCCTCCCACCATTAGGATTGATGATGGATCCCTGCGGACCTGAATGCATGCCTAATAGCAGGCTCCTGGAGTAGGGTGTGGGCATATGTAGATGGGATTCACTTGAGGGTTCCAGGACTCTCTCCTTTACTCCGTCTGCTTGGGTTATAGAGATCCTGCACTGTGTCCCTTCTGCCCTGTACACAACTATAAATAGGAGACATTGTGCAGGGAAGGAGGAGGAAGAAGGGTCAAAACAAGAGCAGGAAGAGCATAAGGGACTATGGTAATGGTGCACAGGTGAATTGGTGATGGAAATTCTATGGGGACTACATCTGAGAAAAGAAAAATGAATGATGTAAAATATATATTAATAAATTATTCAAAAAAAGATATAGTGGGTTTGCAAAATTTCAATGTAAAACATTAGGGGAAAAAGTCAGGTACTGCGGGCTTTGCTTCCACTGTTCATTTGATTCAGTTGTTGGACAGAAATTGATCTCTCAAATCAAGTATTTTAGACAAAATTTTCCTAACTTAAGCAAATACTTTATCTGGGGAAAAGTAAAGGTAAAAGTAACTGCTTGAAAGAAGGGGACATGTGGAATTTAGCTTCACTTGATTGGTCCATTTCACTGACTTTTTAGAATATGAATAATTGCAGCTAAATGTCAACACTAGCAGTTCTAAATTAAAGATGAAGGGTTTTTCTGCACCACATAATCTTCACAGCAAGTCACATTCCTGTGGAAATTCATAGAATATTAGTTGCTGGAAGGCACAAATCACACCAGCAGTTATTTACACATTATATACCTGTAGACAATTCAACACAGCACCAGAAAAACCCTCAATAAACTGTTTTGTAATTCTGTGAGAGTAGAAACATGTAATAAGCATGTTTTAATCTTCTCTTCTTATTCTAGTCTTCTAACCACTATCATACCTCCAGACAAAGAAGTGAATACTGTTTTCCATGTTTCATTAGGTGAAACAAACTGGGTAGGCTAAAAATCAGCAAAACCTTTTACTTACCTCAGTACCAGTTTTAGACATTTGTTGTGCATATATTGGTTTCCCTAGTGCTGAAACCCAGGAATAGCGACAGAGAACTAGAAGCACGGAGATATTTATACTGAACTGTTCTCACATCAAACATTTGCTTAGTCATGAGAATAGGTTCCAAAAATTGAGTCAGTCATTTAGAGATTTTTGATGGTTTCTAGAAAAACAACTGCAATTATGAAATAAAGGAAAGCTTCAGATTCCCCTGTAATGCTTACCAAGCCTTGCTGTATTACAGATTTTGCTGTGTCAAGAAACCAAAATCCAGCCGGTTTTCAAAATTAAAAACAACAAAAAAAAAACCCTTCCTTTTACCTGACCAGTTTGGTTTTCTGAAAAGTGGCACCTTGAAATCCCTGACTTATTTTAACAGAGTTTGCAGGAGATCCAAACTCTTTTTAAGAAGTGACATGTTTCAAAGCAACAGAACTTTTAACTAAAGCAATGCGTGAATGATCTTCTGTTGGAAAAGAATCCTAACAAAGGACATTGTTGGAACGATTAGCAAAAATTTTAACATGGACACATGTCAGATATTATTATACCATCGTTAAGTTTCCTGAGTTTATATTTTTCTGCATAAAAGAACATCTTTGTTTTTAGGAAATATTTAGGAGTAAAAGTTCAGGAGTAAATATTCAAGAAAACTACAACCGACTCTGAAATTGTTGGGCAAAAACACTACTACATAGAGTGGTAAAGTGAAAAATGCTAACAATTGGTGAATCTAAACAAAGGGAAGTAAGAATTCAGGTTCTTAAAACTGTTCTTTAGGTTTGATATTTTTCTAAAACACACACATAAATCCTAATCTATAAGATCAGAATGTAGCTGTAGTATGTAGCCTGAGAGACAGAAAGTTACTGTGAAAGTCCTGAGTTTGCAAATGGCTAGCTAAGCCCAACTTGCCACCTATGAGGTGGCATTTCTCTGACATGGTATCATATTGGAGTCTCTTTACATAACAATTTTTGGTATTTAAAACACCTCTGGCTTTAGGAATGAGATTATAAACGCAAATAAATCACAAACCAATTCTTCTCCATTTTAATTTTCCTAACCAAGTGACTTGTCAAAAGTCCATTTCCTCATCTTTCCACTAACACAGCTATCCAACAAATATTCTTATAAATAGAAATGAGCCCAAGATAGATTATGGTCACTACAGAGAATGGCAAATGTACTTTGTTATTAAGATTGTGAGAAATAGGGCCTCCCTGGTGGCACAAAGGATAAGAAGTCTCAGCACTATGAGGCTATCCACAACCACTGCAGCAGGAGTTCTGGCTGCAGGACAAGTTTGATCCCCAGCTAGGGAGCTGACCCATATGGCACGGCAGACCCTTCCTGTCTTGCCCGCTGCTCCCCTCAGCAGTGTATTTCAGTCAATCCACCTGTTCTGTTTCCCATTCTGTCTCTGGTGAATCCGTTCACCCCTGCACCTCTGGCCTGTTCCCCAGTTCTTTTATGCATAAATAAATCTTTAGAAAAAATTATGAGAAATAAAGTATTATGTTAATGCTTAGATTTTTAAATTTTGTCAACTTTCAAAAAGTATGATTAATACCATTAATTTTGCCAACCAATTGCAATTCCTAACTTACTCTTGCATTACTCCAGAGTTTCTTCATTCTCTGCTTTCTTGAATTTTGTCTTGAAACTGAAAACTTCAATTAAAATTTACACACATTCTGAGGGAATTAACTTTAGGAATAAATGGCAGAGTCTTTTTTTGATACAATTACTAAATAGTCAATGAGCATATGAAAGAACATTTATCAATATTCAGACTCATTTTAATAATTTGATAATTCTTTTCCTTTATCTTAAAGATCATAGGTTTCCCAATGAAATGTAAACTTTATATTGATATAATATCACAGAATAACATTGGAAGACGTTTCTAAAATTAAAAGTAAACCTTTCTTTTTATCAAAAGGAGAAGATTACATTTTAAAAGTTTATTTATTGAAAATTTGAAGCAGAAAATAAAAATCAAAGATCTTACACAATTTCATTGTTTCAGACTTTAAAGACTAAAATATCTTTGTGTAAAACTATTTCTTCTATATTTAAATTCCAATGAATTATACTTTTATTTCAATTATTTTTAAAGGAGTAACATTTCCTTTTAAATAGTTATAAAAACTATAAAACTTTTATTTAAACTCTAGAAAGCATGAAACCCTTTTATTATATGAATTAAAACATGAAGTTTACTTGCAAATCTACACTCACTTTAATATTAACATATATACAGAGACTGCCTTCATCAACCTTTTCTATTTAGCATCACAAAGATGTCTTCTGATGTCCTATAAATAATATGTTTACATGACAATCAGAAGTTTAGCTAAAAGTCAACCTAAATAGTAATAAATTAGTATGGAATGAAAGTCTAAAAAAAGGTCTTAAATAAAAAGAACAAGTCCCAAAATCTCTTAAGCAGCAAAAACATCTTCCAAATTTAGTTTCAAGATTTATCTTGAAACTCTCTTCCTTTCATCAGGTACAATCTTCCTTTCATCAACTGATTTCCAGGGCCCTAAGACAACAAAAGAAAAGTATTAATAACTTAATTTTCTACTGCATTCATACAAATAATATGAAAAATCTGTGCATTTCACATGAATCAAATCAGATGATAGTTAAAAATGGTAAAATACACAAAGTTTAAAGTAACTTATCTTTCCTTTTTTCAAGGGTCATAATTCATAATCAAAAAAAAGGAACGCATACATGGACATAAAAACATGGCAGGATAAGAGGATTAGTCTAAACTAAAATATTACCCTATTATAGTTCTATTTCTTATGTATAATCATCATCTGATTTTTTTTTTAAAGATTTATTTATTTATTTATTTATACACGCACTGGGTACAGTCAGAAGTGCAGGAAGGTGAGAGGATTCACCAGAGCCAGAGCTGGGAACAGAACAGGCAGAGTGGTGAAATACACTGCTGAGGGATGCAGAGGGCGGCAGGAGAGGTCTGTGCACCATGTGGGACCCTTGCCAGTGGCCGGGGATCGAACCGGTGCTGCAGAGGCTGCGGGCAGCTTCGCAACCCAGCGCTCAACCGCTGCGCCACCAGGGGAGGCCCATCATCTGATTTTCAATTCTTAATCTCAGCATTTATTAATGATATACAATAAAAAGTTTTCTACAAAACTTTGAACATGTAAGCAATATAAAAAGTAAATAATTTTCCCAAACTTTGGAAAAACAGTTCAGCAGTTCCTCACAAAGTTAACTTATGACTTTGCAATCCTACTCCTAGGTAAATGCTAAAGGAAATAAAAACGTCTACACAGAAACTTGTACAGTAAAGTACATAGCAGCATTATTCATAATAGTTTGAAAGTGGCATCAACTCAAATGTTAATCATTAAGTGGTGAACAGATAATGTGTGGTATATCCACACAATGAAATATTATCCAGGCCCCCCCCCCAATAAAAAAAGAATGACATACTGATACTTGCTACATGGATGAATATTTTGCTAAGTGAAAGAAACAGGTTCAAAAGTCTCATGTTATAGAATTCCATTTATATAAAAGTCCAGAGTTGATAAATCAAGAGACAAAAAGTAAATTAATGTTTGCCAGGCACTGGGATAAGATACTGAGGGTGGGAGGAGTAAGAAGTGACTACCAATGTGCATGGGGGTTATTTTTAGGGTGATAAAAATGTTCTGAAGGCTAAGCAAACTTTCAAATATAACAGAGCCTGCTGAATTCTTCACTTTAAAAAGGAGAATTTTGATTTATTATAAGGATGCAAAGATGCTTTAATATCTGCAAATGGATCTATGTCATTCACCAGATCAACAAAAGGAAAGATAAAAACCATATGATCTCATCAACAGATGTGGAGATCACACATTTATGATTTTTAAAAATGGGGATATAAGGAATATAATTCAACATAATAAAGGTTGTATATGAGAAGCCCACAGCTAATATCACACCCAATGGTGAAAAACTAAAAGCTTTTCCTCTGAGATCAGGTATAAGGCAGGATGCCCACTATCACCACTGCAACTCAACATAATATTAGAAATCCTAATTAGCAATTAGGCAAGAGAAAGGCATAAATGGAATCCAAATTGGGAGAACAAGTAAAACTTACTCCCTGCAGATGGCATAATAATACACATAGAAAACCCTACAGACCATTAAAAAAAATTGTAGGTAACAAAATCAATATACAAAAATAGGTTGCATTTCTATATGCAGCCAATTAACTAGAAGAGAATGAAATCAAGAAGACACTCCTTGGCCCTCCCTGGTAGCGCAAGGAATTAAGACGCAACTTATGAAGCTGCCCATAGCCTCTGCAGCACGAGTTTGATCTCCAGTCAGCCAGGGAATAACCCACATGGTGCAGAAGACCTCTCTTGGCTTGCCCACTGCTCCCCTCAGCAGTGTATTTCAGTAGATCTGCCTGTTCTGCTCCCCACTCTGTCTCTGATGAGTCTTCTCACCCTCCACACCTCTGGCCTGTACCCCAGTTCTTGTATGCATAAATAAATAAATCTTTAAAAAAAAAAAAGAAGAAGACAATTCCATTTACAGTCACACCAAAAAGAATTAAATGTCTAGGAATAAACTTAACAAAGGAGGATTAAAGACCTATACAATGAAAACTGTAAGATGTTGTTAAAAGAAATTTAAGACAGGTAGAAATAGAAAGATATCCCCTGCTCATGGATTGGATTAAGAATGTTAAATGGTCATATTACCCAAAGCATATTACCCAAAGCAATATGCAGAGTCAATACAATCCCTATCAAGGTTTCAATGGTATTCTTTGAAGAAACAAATCAAACACTACTGAAATTTATATGGAACCACAAGAGTCCAAATAGCCAAACCAATGCTGACAAAAAAGAATAGCGGTATCACACTCCCAGACTTCAAAGCTATTGTAATCAAAACAAAATGGTAGTGGGATAAAGCTAGACACATAGACCAACACTGGTTTCAGAGCCCTGAAACTAACCCACACTAATATGGATATTCAATTTACAATAAAGAAGAGAGGAGAAAAGTGACCATCTTTGTGCTTACATGTATTTTTTTGTGAACTACCTACTTATGGTCTTTGCCTGTTTTTCCATTGTTAGTTTTTTTTTAAAGATTTATTTATTTATACATACAAGAGCTGCGGTACAGGCCAGAGGTTTGGCAGGTGGGAGGATTCACCAGAGACAGAGTGGGGAACAGAACAGGCAGCCTGACTGAAATACACTGCTGAGGGGAGCGGCGGGCAAGACAGGAGGGGTCTGCTGTGCCATGTGGGTTGCTCCCTGGCCAGGAATCAAACTTGTGTTGTGGTGGCTGCTGAGAGCCTCATAGGTTGCGTCCCAACCCTTGTGCCACCAGGGAGGCCCTCCATTGTTAGTTTTAAAAATACTTTGAAATAGCAAAATAAACTTTCCACTAAATATACTATATATTTGGATTAAATAATTTCTAACTTGTCTGTATCCATGGTCTCTTCTATTGAATCTGTGATCTTTTAGAGTTCATTATTCAATATTTGTATGTGCAATTAATAAACATTAACTAATTTATTAATAGGTTTTGTGTGTGGTGATGGAAAGAGAAAAGGGCCTCCCTGGTGGCGCAGCAGTTGAGCGCTGGGTTGCGAAGCTGCCTGCAGCCTTTGCAGCACCAGTTTGATGCCCAGCCACTGGGTGAGGGTCCCACATGGCACGCAGACCTCTCCTGCCGCCCGCTGCTCCCCTTAGCAGTGTACTTCATCAGTCTGCCTGCTCTGCTCTCTCTCTGACTCTGGTGAATTCTCTCACCCTCCCGTGCTTCTGACTAACCCAGTGTTTATATAAATAAATAAATAAATCTTAAAAAAAAAAAAAAAAAAGAAGCAAAAAAGACAAAATTTGGTCATTATATTTGCCCATAATTATACAGGTTCCACATGAATATTTTAGTTGGTCTTCTTACCACTATGGGTATGTAAAGGAGCAGTAGGAACAATTTGGCAATGGTCAGTAACATAACATTCTGTATGCTTTTGTATGTTTATAAGAGTTTCCCCAAATAATTTAAATGCCTAGCATTATAATGCCTACCAGTGATTTGACATAGGAGTCTTATCCTGCTGCTTGCTTGGAGCCTGCTGCAGGGGGCACAAGGCTGTCCAGCTGTTGGCGATGTCCTGTACTAATCAGCCACTCATAAAACTTGTTCTCCACAAGTACCTGGAACTGCTTCCTTTGATCCCTAAAATTGCAATTGAGAGCAAAAAGAATGTAAGAACATTAACTCATACTAATTTTACTCCAAGTAATTATAAAACACTTGAATGAGATAAATGCTGTTATTCCCATATATCCACTTATTCTCTCCAAGTAATTGCTGTGTTCTATTCTTTACATTGGATCACCACCACCAAAAAAAAAAAGCAACAAAAAAGACTGGTCAGATACAACGCACTATTTGTAAAGACTTATCTATAATTATGCATTTGCTCTATTGTGGTTATTAACTCAACAGATATTTACTGAGGACCAAATGATGCTGGGTAGTGTTCTGAGTGATAAATGGTCAAAGAAAGGAAGAGAGACCAGCCCTCTGTCTGGCAGGCCTGTGACTCCATTCACATGTGAGGGCACCATTCACATGTGATCTATGTAACCTATGCTCCCTGGGAATGATGGTATATTCCAGTAAGAAATGTAAGTAATAAATAAAACAGTTAAGTGTCATGAACTTAAGTAGTTATAAATGCCTTGGCTAAAAATCAACAGGGTAAGGAAATGGAGAACGTTGAGAATGCTAGTAAAGAAAATGGATGAGATGACACTTAAGCACGAGTCTCAGTGAAGTGATGGATTAAACCAAGTCAGTCTCAGGAGAAGAACATTGCAGGCAGAGGGAAAATAAAAGGGCAAAGGTTCTAAAGTAAGAGGATATTTAACATGTTTAGGATTAGAAAGAACAGCTTCTGATAGTCAGGAACTAGCTTAGTGATATCAGCAGGGCCTTGTGTGGCTAGAATCTGGTCTAGCCATGATGTTCTACTGAACATAAACAATTCCACAGAACACCATCAGACAAGGCTAACATGGGATGATGATAGATCAAGGCAAGAACAAGACCACTATATAATCATATGTCAGTCCAGACATAAACCAAAGATATTTTGTGGTTCAAACCAAAGTTAAATTGAGTGTTTTTCCTTGTTTCTGGTGTTATTCTAAATCTGAATGCTTGGATACACTATAATTCAGAGTCAATATTTATTTAATGCTTACCACATCCTAGACTCTGCACATATGTAGAAGATTTTTACATACATAAAAAATCTAGGCATTCAAATAATAGAAGCATTCAAACAATAGAAGTGCTTTAAAAGGATGCTTTCTAATAATCATCCATTTTCCATAACATCATTGAAATTATATTATATATAACAATAGTTTACAGAAAACAAAGACTAAGAATCTAGTTTCTGGAATGGGGCTAAATGTGAATCCCAGATCCTATGTGACTTTGGATAAAATATTTATTTAATCTCTCTGTTCCTTAGTTTCCTTAGTTATAATAGGATATTATTAATGGTAAACGAGTTAATACATAGAAGGTTCTTACAATATTATTTGGCATACAGTAAGTGTTCAACATATTATTACCTGTTATGATCTTCATCATTAGTCTGTGAATATTAAACTGAGAATGACTAGTCTACAGTATGAATGTCTTGGGGGCTCAATCCATTAGATACAAACCAAGTGGAATGTCTGTAATAGGAGTCACAGAATTATCACAAGGGATTCCCAGGTGAAGCATGATTTGTGATCTTTATATTTTTTGGCAGGTTGCAATTGTTTTAAATAGTCTAAATGCAACAATGTAACTAAATATTATATATTTTATTTCTTAGTTCATAGGATGAGAACAAAACCATGAGAATTTATACAGAAAATATCATGGCGAGATCCAGTCTTTTTCAGTTATGATTTCCCTTAATAAAGTTAATTCTAACAGGGCCTCCCCGGTGGTGCAGAGGTTGAACGCTGGGTTGCGAAGCTGCCCGCTGCCTCTGCAGCGCCAGTTCGATCCCTGGCTGCTCCCCGGCCACTGGAGGAGGGTCCCACATGGCGCGCAGACCTCTCCTGCCGCCCGCTGCTCCCCTCAGCAGTGTACTTTGGTCCTTCTGCCTGCTCTGCTCCCCGCTCTGGCTCTGGTGAATTCTCTCACCCTCCCGCGCTTCTGACTGTACCCAGTGCTTGTATAAATAAATAAATCTTTTTTAAAAAAAAAGTTAATTCTAACAAATCAGATTTCAGATATTCTCAGTAAAAGGTATTCCCCAGATGTTTCTCACAAACATATCACTGAAAAAAGTGTCTCATATTCATACTACTAAACCTAGCACCTCTCACGTAGCTATACACAGTACCTCTCACATCATTATTATAAATTACCTCATTAGATCTTCACATCAATCTCACCAGGTGTAGATTTTACTTATACCTTATATGTGATGTAATTAAAAGTCAGAGAGGTTAAACGACACATTCAATGTCATTTAGTGGAGTGGCATGGACAGTACTAATTTCTGAGTCTTAGTACTTTTTTCTACAATGCAGACAGAACTATCTAGAGAATAACACTCTAGTCTTGAAGTAAAACTAAGAGATCTAATTAAAATAAGCATTTTTATTCATATATCAAAGAGCAGTTCTACATTATTAGAAAGAAACATTTTGGGGATGGCTGCCACTTTTCAAGATAATGATAATCAGGAAAAAAATAACTAATACCAAGCAAATGGAATCCAGTTATTAACGGAAGTGCTCTTGGGAGTCATAAGGAAAAAGGTCATAAAACTCAAAACGTTATTAGGACATACTGAATTTCATGTAAAGACTATCCCCAAAGAACTTGATACTCTTTTCTCAAACTAGCTCCAGCTCTCAAATAGGTAACGATGTAGAAGAAGCAACTCTCCTTGGTACTATATTCCCTACTTTTCTTATTGTCTCTTAACAAATAAAATTTGATCAACTATCAAAATGCTTATACTCACAAAAATTACTTATTACACTACTTTTAAGTTGATACTTGAAGTATATACTTTCAATGTATATATTAAGTGTATACTTTCAATGTATATATTACGTGTATATTATTCTTTCTAGAAGAAAACTGATTAATCAAAAGTTTCTAAGTTGGGCTCCAATTTTTGGGAATCATTTTTGATTTCCTCATCTTTTTCACAAAACTGTGCACTGATTCCTGCCTCCTGCTAAAGTATTTCTGGACTCCATCCTCTTTCCCACCACTGTAGTCCAGTTCCTAGTCTATCATCCTGACTTTCCTCTTTCAAATCTCTCTAGCCAGAAGATCTTTATATGTGCAATCCCTTTGCATTATACATTTTTAAATCTGCTATAGCAGCTAATAAAGGGTTTGCATTATATAAGCATTATATAAATGTTCCCGAATAAATGTAATAGCTTTCTGTTATTCATTCAATTGTTCAAAACCCTTTAATAATTCCTAATACTTAATTTCACTTAAATCTAACTTTCACTGCCTGGAATTCAAGATTCTCTATAATCGGGTTCAACCTACTCATCCAAGCTTAAATACCACTATTCCATATCCAGAATCCTGTTTCAGCATATGACTTCCAGGATAGCTACTTCTGCTTCTACATCTGCTCCTCCAGGGCTGTTGAAAGTTTTTGCCCAGTCCTCACTTCTATCCAAACTCAGTTCATAGTTTAAGGTCCGACATGAACTGTACTTACTCCACTGAGCTTCTCTGACTACCAATAGTGATGTTTTCTGAATTTTTATACCACAGAATATGTCCCTAGTTTCTAGACTTCAGTTCCAATGCCCTTGAAATAAAATTTTGTAGTAGACATAATAAACCACAATGATCTTCTGTAATAAGCATATATCTAAAATATTTAAAGCTCCAAAGGTAGGAAGGAAATGTCAGGAAAGACAGTATTTAAATTGACTAAATTTAGCCTAATTTTCAAATATTGTACTTATGTTTTATATTTTACCATGGATTAGGGAAAACTTTGATAAAAAGAGGCACTAGTCCAAGGACCATCGCTAGGAATTCACCTCTGGACAGTCTGTCTGTGGTGTGGTGAAGCCAGGAAGTCTGCACTTTTATCAAACTCCTTGGATGATTCTGATACACAACCAAATTTGAGAGCTGCCAGTATAATATAGAGACGTAAATTAAAAACTAAAATCAATCTATTTATATTTGACTATGTTGCATATTCTGTATGTTTCACTTAAATAAGTAATTTATATCTGCCAACTAAACTTGATTATTCTTAAAAGAATCAAGTTTAATACTTGAATATCCACTTACTCCTATCACCAGGGTTAAACAGCACCTGAAATACTGACCTGAAACCGAAGACAGACTGTATCTTTTTATTACTTTACACACCCATAAACACATGCAGATTAATTTGCTTTCCCATGGAGTTTTAAATAAAAGACAAATTATTACTTCCATAAATTACTTACTTTGTCAAACGAGCCTCCTTCACAGTTTTTTGCCAAATCTGTATCTTCTGTTCTCTTTGACCTAGTGCTTTCTGATATGTGGGTGGAAGACCCCCAGGTATCTCTGTTGTGTCCCCTTCCATTTCAAAGGGAATAATAAATACATAGAATTCACAAGGTGGTAAGAGCCGGAAGACATTTGTGTCTCTGTTCTCTCTACATACAATCATTGGATCGTCCCAATAGTTAGGCACTGTAGCAAGGCCAGTTCTGGCCATATGCTCCTCCAGCATTGGGTAATGAGTATGAAAAGGGGCAAAAGTTACTGTCTGGTTCCCAGAAAGAATAAGTGGGCGTGTAGGTGTCAGAATATGAAAGATGCAACCTGCTGTAGAAGAAATGGACAAACGATGGCAAACAGCAATGACTTTAACATTGTCACAGCTGTGGAGGTGAAGAGCAGTCTGTACAGGGCCCAAGACAAAGGTGCTATTCCTACACTTCTCAATTGTCACAGACCTGAAATATGAAAAAATGAGATGAATTATTTTGAGTAAGATGAAAAATATTTTACTGCAATAACATTATCTCATGCAAAAAAAAAAAAAAGTATCAATCCTATTCCAAAGAAAATATAAAAATGTCAAAACAGTATGAAGACTGCTTACCGTAAGGGAGAGAGCAAATATATAAAAGATTCGTTGCAACGATGAATCTTCACATGTGCCCCCACCAGAGTGTCTGAGCTTTTGGCTAATGTCTGCTTGTAAACCTGGCTCATCACCAACATGCGGTGCATCCTAGGGGCCACATGAGTATTACATGCAATTTTAGCTCTTTTGGTTGTCCCTTCAACTACATAGGAAAAACATAAATGAGATATTTTCAAATCAAAGAAAAAAATCATATAAGGTTAAATATGTCTACATGTATACATAAGTTAGATAACTGTAAGGTCTTAAAAAAATCTTAGATTCAGGTATTGGGTAATGTGTTTGCTATACATACTTTTCTGTATGTTTGCAAAATTTCATTATTTTTCTTATAAAATTTTTAAGCCTATACTCCATTCAATATTGCCTATAGGTCTAAATTTTTTTTTTTTTTTTTATCATTTCTACCCTTCAAGTAACATGCCTAAGGTCATATGGACAGTAAAAGGCAGAGCTAACCCAAATCAAGCTTCTCCTCCAAGATGTCAATATGAGTTAATTTATCATTCCAACCCTTAAATAATCTCTTTAAATTGTCATAATACTAATCTGAACCCCTGCTAAATTACTACCAAATCATTTCAGGAATTCTATTTAGCTCAAATCTTTATTTCCAAGATCACTGCTAACTCCCAAGTAGAGAGCCCACCTACCTGTCATAAACAGTACCTTGCAGGAACTGATACTCAAAAAAAATCTACATAGGTCGCTCTCTTAATGCAGTCCCACCAATATGTGATTGGTTTTTCAGACTGCAGGGGTATGAACCACCAGGGCATCCTTGTAAATAACACTGGTCAACAGTACCTCCTGCAAGGTACTGTTTATGACAGGAAGGTGGGCTCTCTACTTGGGAGTTAGCAATGATCTTGGAAATAAAGATTTGAGCCAAATAGAATTCCTGGTCACAAGAGTATGTTATCACTCTTCGTTTAAAGCAATTCGTATTGTTTCCTTTTATTACGTAAGTAATGTATGCTTATTGTAGAGAAACTTTATTACTAGTAACAAAAGAAGAAAAAATATTTGTAATCCTACCATACACCACTGTTAACATTTTAGTACAATCCTTAGAAGTTAGATATCCTTCTTTTCCTATGAGGGCCTACTTTAACAACATTAAACCTTACCTGAAGCTGCAGAAGTTTTTTCATTAGCATTGAGAATTCCATATCATCTCCTATATGTTTGTGGGAGCCTTACATATCCAAGAGTCCTGACCTCCTACTACAGCAATAGCTTGGGGAGATACAGAACTCTTGGATAACAATCTTTTTGTCTCAAGATTCTGTAGATATAGCTGAAGTTTTTTTAGCATGATAAAAATTGATAGAAAAATTACTTTCTGTACATTTGCACAGGATCTATTTCTTCATTACTTTGAAATTCAGAGATTATATAAGTATATCCTTGTGTTTTTGGGTTTTTTTTCTCCATTAACTTTTCCTGGCATTTGCTCAGTATAGGCACCTATTGAGATGTTTATTCAGTCCTTCTTCTCCTTGAATGTATTAAGAGCCCCAAGAAGGTCATATAGCACCTGTCCTATCCCTTCAGCTATTGCTGGGCTATCAGGAAAAACTACTGATGCAACCGAAAACACTCTTTCTACTATAAATCTAAATTTCCAATTTAGAAATACCTATTTTGCTTATATCTGTGTAGTTAAAAAGGACCTCATCTCTATACTAACATTCTAACTATAGAATGGCCAAATTTTGCTGTTTTGCATAAAAAATAGGAAAGTCTTACACAAATGAGCAAATGAAAGGAAGATGGAGAGAGTGGGAAAAGAGGAAAGCAAAACAAAGAGATGACTAACTGAAGTTGGAGTTTCTGTTAATTGCAACCAAACAACCTGGAATGAGGAACCAACTCGTAGACTATTGCTGCCTTGGAAGAAAGTCATATACAAAAGGAAGATGGTCCCTTTTTCTCTAGTAATTTTTTTTTAGGTCTTTTACAGAAGTGATTATTAATATGCTGGAAAACACTAGGTTCCTTAACTTGTCTTTCAATTTAATGTAGATTAAAATCTTAAAAAATACCTTGGTGAGCCCAAGCCAACTTCTTTCCAGATTTGAGGCAAGCAGATGTGCCAAATGGATTCCCAGTCAAGCAGGCTCTCAACCAGGCTTCCAGCTTGTAGAAAGAAAAGGTCTTAGAGATCTTTGAGAAGCCACTTTGTGCATGCAGTGGTTGCCACAGTGCAAGTTCATGAAGTGGATATATCTTCCTGGCTCTCCTCACTGTACCTTCAATAAGGAAGCTGAGTGCCACAACAGCTTCTCGAGAGACTAGACTAGTATGGGTTGAATGAGATGATGCAGTGAGTTGTTCTGGATCTAAAAGCAGTTCAAGGAGATCGGACAGATGATCACAGACAAAAGCTTGGTGACTGTAATCATTCCAGTTCTAAAAATATCAAAAGAAAGCACTCTTAAAAGAACAGAGATTCTCTAAGACCTGAAACTTTTATATATTCATTATATTATAGTATTACTTTGCCTCATCGCCACCCTCCAAAACCATTTGAGATGGCTATATAAATCTTATAATTTTTTTTTTTTTGTAATTCTAACAGGTATACACAAATTCTTTCTCCAGCTTAGCTAACTCAAAAGTAATACATAATAGCTAACCCTTAGTGTATGCCAAGCACTAACTGGTATACAAACTTTAGTGTTTAATTCAACAATAATCTTAAAGTAGATGTTATTATCACACCCACTGTACAGATGAGAAAATGGAGATACAGAAAGTTCATAAACTTGCTCAAGGTTACAGGTAGTAAATATTCTAAAAATTTCAGACCAAACATAAAATAACCACCTTAGACAATCATTCTATGAAGCATTAGTTTCCTATATTTATCTTCTCAAATTACAGAAGGAATTTTAAATTCCACTACATGAAACAAAGCATCTGATCTTACAGTGACTAAAAGGAAGAGAAACGATAAATTTGGGAATAGGCTTCATGTTGGCAAATGTACCAAGATTTGGCTCATTCATTTGACAGATATGCTTTGAATCTCTCACACAGAATGGGTAGTGTTTAAGTGATGAATTAGGTAAATCAAACAAGACAGTTCCTGTCCTCAAGGAACTCAGAGTCTATGTAGTAAAAAACAATTATTAACAAGTAATTATGAGACAGTATGGTAAGACCTATAGCAGAAATCAACAAATACATTTTATGAGCACAGGAGAAACAATAAACTCTAATTATTTTTTATTGGCATAACATCGGTTTACAACACTGTATATGGTTTAGGGGAATAGGTTCACACCTCTCTGGATCTATGTTACCCACACCACATCCAACACCAAAGCAGGCACAATCTCCACCACAAACCATTGCCCCCCCCCCCACCTTGTTCTGCATCCCTTTCTGATGGAGTTTAGGCAGAAGATGAACATATTCATATGCATTTTATTTTTTTATTTAAATTTTATTTTTGTATTCCCCATACAATTACAACCCCCTTATTTGACCCCAAGCCCTCCTTTCCCCGCTCCCCACCCCCCATTGTGTGTCTCTGGTTCATAGTTGTTGATTTTGATATTTTCTTTCTTATAGTTATTCTTTTTCCTGGTCCCTTATTCAAGTTTCCTAGATTCCTGCTATGAGTGAGACCATCCGGTATTTTTCTTTTTCTTTCTGGCTTATTTCACTGAGCATGATCCCTTCCAGTGCCATCCATGTTGCTGCAAATTGCATGTGTCTATCTTTTTTGAATGCTGAGTAATATTCCATGGTGTATATGTACCACATCTTCTTGATCCAGTCATCTATTTTTGGGCATTTGGGTTGTTTCCAAAGCTCAGCTATTGTAAAAAGTGCTGCTATGAACATAGGGGTGCAGGTGCTCTTTGGAATTACTGTTTCTGTGTCCTTTGGGTAAATACCAAGGAGTGGAATTGCTGGATCATATGGAAGCTCTATGTTGAGTAGGTCAAGAAATCTCCACACAGCTCTCCAGAGGTTGGACCAGTTGCACTCCCACCAACAGTGCAGGACAGTTCCTTTTTCTCCACAACCTCGCCAACATTTGTTGTTGCTAGTTTTTTTAATATGTGCCATTCTCACTGGTGTGAGATGGTATCTCATTGCAGTTTTGATTTGCATTTCCCTGATAACAAGCGATGTTGAACATTTTTTCATATGCCTGTTGGCCGTTTGCACTTCCTCTTCAGAGAAGTTTCTTTTTAGCTCTTCTGCCCATTTTTTGATTGGATTATTTTCTTTGTTTTTGTTGAGTCTCATCAGCTCTTTGTAGATTTTTGTGATCAGTCCTTTATCATTAGTGTTGTGTGCAAAAATGTTCTCCCAGTCGGTGGGGTTTCTCTTTGTTTTTGTTATTGTCTCTTTTGCTGTGCAGAAGCTCTTTAATTTGATGTAGCCCCAGCTGTTTATCTTTGCCTTCGCTATCACTGCTTTGGGTGATGTGTCTGTAAAGATGTCTTTGATGTGCCTATCATGTAGTGTTTCGCCTGTATTTCCTTCTATGTATTTTATGGTTTCAGGTCTTATGTCTAGTTCTTTAATCCATTTTGAGTTGGTTTTTGTGTATGGTGTTAGGTAGTAGTCAAGCTTCATTCTTTTGCATGCAGTGACCCAGTTTTCCCAGCACCATTTATTGAACAAACTTTCTTTGCTCCAATGCATATCCTTTGCTCCTTTGTCAAAGATTAGTTGACCATAAATCTGTGGGTTTATTTCTGGATTTTCTATTCGATTCCATTGGTCTGTGTGTCTGTTCTCGTCCCAATACCATGCAGTTTTGATGATTATGGCTTTGTAGCATAGTTTGAAGTCTGGGCATGTGATGCCTCCACTCCCTTCTTTTTTTTTCAGGAGAGGTTTGGCTATTCGGTGATTTTGGTGATTCCATATGAATTTCATCAATAATTGTTCTATTTCTTTGAAGAATGATATTGAAATTTTTATTGGAGTAGCATTGAATCTGTATATTGCTTTTGGTAGGATGGCCATTTTAATAATGTTTATTCTTCCAATCCATGAGCAGGGGATGTCTTTCCATTTCTTTGTGTCTTCTTCTATTTCTTTTAACAGTGTTTTATAGTTTTCTTTGTATAGGTCCTTTACCTCTTTTGTTAGATTTATTCCCAGTATTTGGGGTTTTTTTTGTTTCAATAATAAAAGGGACGGTTTTTTGGATTTCTTCTTCTTCAGATTTATTGTTTGTATATAGGAAGGCTACAGACTTTTGCGTGTTGAATTTGTATCCTGCCACTTTACTGAACTGATTGATGAGTTGAATTAGTTTTTCTGTGGAGTTTTTGGGGTTCTCTATGTATATTATCATATCATCTGCAAATAGTGATAGTTTGACTTCTTCTTTTCCTATTTGGATTCCTTCTATGTCTTTCTCTTCTCTTATTGCTCTGGCTAGAACTTCCAGGATTATATTGAAAAGCAGTGGTGAGAGTGGACATCCTTGTCTTGTTCCAGATCTTAATGGAAATGCTTTCAGCTTTTCACCATTGAGAATGATACTGGCTGTTGGCTTGTCATATATGGCCTTTATGATGTTGAGGTATGTTCCTTGTATCCCAAGAATTTCAAGGGCTTTTATCTGAATGGGTGTTGCACTTTGTCTAAAGCTTTCTCGGCATCTATTGATATTATCACATGGTTGTTATTTTTCTTTTTGTTGATGTGTTGGATAATGTTGATTGATTTTCATCCATTGCATTTTAGAAAGTCCAGTATAACAGGTGGATTAAAGACTAAAAGCATGAGAACTAGGTAGGATCTAACTACAGAAATTAAGGGGAAAATGTAATTAGAGCCTCTAAAAGAAGAAGAAAAGGGACTTTTTTTTTGTTTTCATTCGTATATGCATTTATTTTTACATGTATGCATTTATTTTTTAAAGATTTTTTAAAGATTTGTTTTTTAGTTTTTTTAAATTTTATTTTTATATTCCCCATACAATTGCAACCCCCTTATTTTAACCCCAATCCCTCCTTTCCCCGCCCCCCACCCCCATAGTGTGTCTCTGGTTCATAGTTGTTTGTTGATTTTGATTTTTTCTTTCTTATAGTTATTCTTTTCCCTGGTCCCTTATTTAGGTTTTCTAGATTCCTGCTATGAGTATGTTTTTTTAAGAGTTAATATGAAGGTAGAATTAGTAAGACTTGACAACAAACTATGTACAGGTGGTGAGAGAGAAAGAAAGAGCATGAGTATGGGTAGCCTATGGTAACTCACTAGCGCAGGGAATAAAGGTCAGTTCAAGTAAATTTTACTGTAGGGGTACAAAGCTATCTCCAAAACTAAAGTACAGGTAGGACTCATCACAACTGGAGTTGGAAAGCTATCTGGAACCTGGTTCCCCTTAGGGGCCAGAGTGTCTCTGCATGTCTGTTCCAGTCTCTTCTTTCTCTCTGATTACCTCAGAGTTTCTAATCCCTCATAATTCCAGGTCATTCATGAGCAAGGTGGCTATTTCTGGCCCCAATGCCACATGGGCTGTCAGCTCAAGTACTCAACACAACAGGTTATTTCTTTAGTCCATAAGGGTTTTGATTGGGACAGCTTATAATCACAAATCAGACCAATGTCAAATATATCCAATGGATGGGCTATTCTAGTAAAGTATCAATTGTCGGAAGAAGCTATACTATAGCATAAAACAGAATCACAATTCACTGATGCTCAGTATGCAACATGTCTCATGCTAATATTTCACTGAATCATAGCCTTTCAGAAATAGGTATTATCATACCCACTATAGAAGAAAGGTTAAGGCCTAGAGAAGTTAACTGACTTGCCAAAAAAAAAAAAAAAAATCATGTGATACTAAGTGGCAGACCTGGATATGAATGCTGGCTACCTTAGCTCAAAACATTCTCTCTCAATGTTGCCCACGTAGCAGGAATTGCATGTGGAAAGAATAGGCAATTATTGGCATCTCTAAAATTTCTGTAATTGGATATTCTGAATCTAAGGTAAAGAAAGGAATCTATGTGTGAAGAGGTAAATCTAGAAAGAAGACTAAGTTATGAGTGACTGAGATATAGTAAGTCATGGGTAAAGAATAAATTATGTTGAATAAAGAGCTTGAATGAGGAGACAAAGTTGCCATAGGCAGAATCCTGGGAGAACAATGCCATGTACAAGTCAGGGAAGAGAGGTTCATGAATAAAGAGTCAGAAAGAAGCATCAGAAGCAGAACCAGGAAGGTATAGTGTCATGGAATTTAACAGTAAACAAAATTTATTACAAAAAATAGATTATAAAAAGAGATTATAAAAGCACCAAATATCAAAGAGATTTATTTTTAGCTTTAGAACATTTGTTTTTTTTTTAGTTTTTTTAAAGATTTATTTATTTATTTATACAAGCATTGGGTACAGTCAGAAGCATGGGAGGGTGAGAGAATTCACCAGAGCCAGAGCAGGGAACAGAACAGGCAGATTGACGAAACACACTGCTGAGGGGAGCAGTGGGCATGGCAGGAGAGGTCTGCATGCCATGTGGGACACTTGCCAGTGGCTGGAGATCGAACTGGCACTGCAGAGGCTGCAGGCAGCTTCGCAGCCCAGCGCTCAACTACTGCGCCACCAGGGGAGGCCCTAGAACATTTGTTTTTAAAAGAGTCTGATATCACTAAAACTGAGACCTACATTTCACTTAAGTTTTTCAAAATGGTTTTACACGAACATGTAAAAACATTTGGGTTTCTTTATAAAAACATAAAAAAGAAATAAGACATTTTCTAAAACTCAAAATATAAGGCAATTAAATTTAACTTCTAGGTTGTATCATATCATTTACAATTACTTAAGCATGTTGAATTTAATCTTAAGCAAATAACAATCATATAAAATGGAATTTATCATTAATTTAACAGATTATGCAAATACTGTACCTTCTCACTTATCCTAATGTAGTAAACAGATTCAAATTCATTAACATGTACAAAAATGGGGATGCTAACAAGAGAAGACTGAATGATATGCCCCAAAACCACATAAGTGATTTTTGTGTCAATGAAGAAACTGAAATCACTTCTTTATTTTGATTAAGATGGCATATATTGACTTCATTTTATAATTAAAGGGGAAAAAAGTAAAAAGCAAAACAAAGCAAATAGCAAATCACTAGCTTATCTAAGTAACCCCAATGTAAGTTTTAATGAAGACAAACCATCTCCCTCTCAAATTGTCCCTTTTAGGAAATTTAGAAATCAAAATTTATCAGTACCTTATTATGACAACTGGATTTTTCAGTGAGGTCAGGTGACTGAGATCTATTTCTGGGGCTAGGCCATTCTTCTCCAATCAGTGATGTCCTCAGGGAGACCTTGTTTAACTGCTGTATGTATAAGAAGAGCAGAAACTGTAGCGTGTCCACTGAAAGCTGTCCAAAAAAAAAAAACAAAAAAAAACCATAATAAACATGTGTCCTAAAACCACACGAGTCACTAGTCTACAACTAAATACAATATAGTAAAATAGATTCACAACAGATTGCTGATCCAAAGAAGACAATTGATATATATGTTTCTGATACCCAGCTAGAGAAGTTCCTAAAAGTAATTTAACTGCAGTCCCTTAACTGCTCAGAAAGCTATCTTTGCCATCGATAGTCAGACATCCTCTCCCAAAACTGATGAAAAGGCTGAAATATATACTTTTAAAAAGTATATTATTTCAGAAGTTTAAAATTAGTTTTTAAAAAACCTTAGTAATTTAAGTACATAGAAGAAGGAAAGAAAATTTAATCAAGACAGCATTAAAGTTCATATATGTATGAAGAAAGTTTAAGATATCGGGGCAGGGCCTCCCTGGTGGCGCAAGGGGTTAAGACAACCTATGAAGCTGTCCATAGCCACTGCAACACGAGTTAGATTCCCCGGCCAGCCAGGGAGCAACCCACATGGAGCAGCAGACCTCTCCTGACTCGCTCGCTGCTCCCCTCAGCAGTGCTTTGTCAATCTGCCTGTTCTGTTCCCTACTCTGTCTCTGCTGAATCCTCTCACCCCCCAACACCTCTGGCCTGTACCCCAGCTCTTGTATGCATAAATAAATAAATCTTTAAAAAAAATTCATCCAATGAGATGACCTGTATTGGACTGTAGCATGAATGAGAAATAAACTGTTACAGTGTTAAGTCACTGAAAGGCTGGGACTGAAATTAGCCTACTCTGATTTATATACTTTCTCTGGGAAATCCTTTCTGCTCACCAGAATTAATTATTTTCTATTCTATTTCTGTATTTTATGCAAAATTTTGTTATTATACATATCACAATATTACTTAAGTAGCACTTGTCTGTCCACCAGCTTCCTCTACTAGTTTCTGATCTCTGTGAGAACAGAAATGCTTTCCTAATCATCTTTGAATCCTAACACAAAGCAGACATTCACTTAAAAATAGTCAGGTACTCTATAACAAATTTGGTTTATAAGTATCCACTTGGCTGAAAATATTTCTCAAGTCAATAGAAATATTTCCCTCTTCCTATTAATGTTCCTCTAACATTACTGCTTTGGGAATAGGTGAATAAGATTGCTAAGTAAGATCTCATTTATTAAATATATTAAATACTGTCAAACTGGAACCAGTAACAGCTCAGATAGTGCTTTGGAGTCCAAATGGTCATTAACCTAAAACTGCACACTGTACAGCTACTACATCTTAAAAAGCTTATTTCCCAAATTATACACTACACACACACACACACACACACACACACATTATATAAAAAGCCATACCTGATTTCTCTGCTTTTCGACTTCATCCTCAGACACACAGTTGGACAGAATCTCAGACCACTCGAGCCGTTCCTCTGATGTCTTCACTGCCAGACTATCAAATATTTCAAAGTAAAGCCATGCCAGATCCTTGGGCAATTGCAGCTTCCCACATGCAATGTGCCTCCACGTAGACCAGTATAGGCGTGGGTAAGCTCCCTCTGTGGCCCGGGTTCGTACATAGGTAGATATCTTCCTGAGATAGTGAAGGCTGAATTTGGATGGTGGGGGCACCTGCAAGGCGCCCACTATAAAGGGTTCTGTTTTCACCCAGAGGAGAACTCCGGACTGGTCCATATTATCTCTATGGACATTTGTGTGAAAAGCCTTCTTTGCATACCTAGGAAACAAAGTTTCTTCACGTATGTGTTTGAAACAAAAGTCATTTATACATTTTCTTGTAAGGTGAACCCTTTCCTAACTTTTTAAATGTACTCTACCAATTTAAAAGGCAGATATAGCTCATCAACTTAGAGCAGAATAGATTTTTGCTGACATCTCATTACCAACTATTTAAGCAAGAACAATTTTGTGATAAAATACATTATCTTTACTTGACTGGTTCAAAGTGTTTGTTTTAGGGAAAGTATGAAAATACATGAGGAATGTATTGTATCCTTGCTTAGGTCAGAAAGATGAAATGGAAAAGACTCATCTCATTACAGAAAATCTTGCTATACCTTGACGGGTAGCACTAGTCAAAATAAAGGGACAAAAATATTACAGAGTTAAATCACTTACATAAAGAGTATGGTTGGTTAGAGTTAATTTGCTATGTTCGCTGACCATATAAGTTCAATATGAAGGACTAACACAGGAAGCTGACAGGACTGCTTATATAAACACAGGCTGCAAAAATAGATCTGGGGAACTTAAAGCATTTTTATTCTCTGTAACAGTGCCCCTGCTATGGCATATTCTGCTATGCTCAGTTCAGGTGCAGTATTTTTTAATTCTGTTTCTTATAACAACAATACATAATTTGTATGGAATATTAATAAAATATCAAAAATAAAAGGGACGGAAACCATTTAGTCTCACCACCAAAGAGAAACTAGTTACTATTTTACTGTACTTCCTTCTTGTCTTCTTTCTACACACACTGTAGTTTTTGGGTTTTCACAATTTTGATAGCATAGATACAATTTCGTATTATTTTTAAAGCTTCATAGCATTCCAAAAAATGTATCCTAATTTATTCAACTTTTATTTTTAGATATTAGTTTAAACATTTTCACAAAACAAGATAGGCAAAATATTGATCATTATTTTAGTTGGGTAATGAGCACATGGGGGGTTATTTACCTCTTCTACTTTTGTACGTTAAAATTTTCCATTAAAAAAGGTTTTAATGTTTTCACTATCATACATAATGCTATAATTATCATCTGCCTGCACATTTCCTGCATGATTAATCCCCAGAGAAGATTTTCAGATGTACATTTGCAAAATGAAGTAACTGACACTTTTGAAGCTCTTGATATATTTTCCATTAATTTCCAAGATGTTGTATTAAACAAAACCATCACTTGACCAAGGTACCCTCTTCATGGAACACTACTAAGTGTTAACATCACTTAAAACACCTGTTACGACTGATGAGAAATGTTTTGTTGCCATTATTATATTTTGCATTTGATAAGAAACTCATGCTTCTTTGGGGGGAATTATCTGTTCAAAAAATAACTGACCTCAATAGTGCTCACTTACTATCAAGTAGCACGTGAAATACTTTCTGTGGCCTTCATCTCCATTGTCCTCACACCCCCTGGAGAGACATACAGTTACCCCCACTTTCAGATGAGAAAACTGAGGCTTAGAGAAGTTAAAGGACTTAATGCAAAGTCGCATACTTAAATTGGCATAGTCCTGAATTAGAATTCAAATCTGTCTAACTGTAGAACAGTTCTGCTTTATTTAGGAACCCGTTTTGGGAGCATCTCTGAAAAACGGGAAGGGATCCAGAGAAGGACTGCCAGGACGAGTGGCCAGAGGCTGAGGCCACGTACGGGTCAGATGAAGGGCCAGAATGAAGGAACCCACAGAGGAGACTGAGAGGATAACCAGCAACTGTCTTGAAACACGGGAGCGGCTTAGCCTGGTCCTGAATGCTAACCAGACCACGAAAGTCACTCGAGGCCCATGTTAGCTCGCCTCCAAAAGGAAACAGGCTGCTTTGCAAGGTATTATGCCCCTGTCCCTCGAAGGGTGCAATCAAAAGCCAAACCCCTGGGGATGCACCCCCCATTCGACCTCAGTAACTCAAGAGAGCTACATTTGTAAGCAAAAATGGAGCTTTTTCCCGCTTCAAATGATCCCCCGCGGAGTGACCGGGTCGTGATATTCAATAGGGTTTCTGAAAAGGGCCCACGAGCCAAGGCGGTTCTCGCGCGCGCCTTCGCCGGCGCTGGGGACACAGCCAGGGCTGGGACGCGGCCAGACTTCGGGAAGCGGGGAGCCCCAAGCCTGTGGTGGGCCTGAGACGTGGCGAGCACGAAGACCGCCTACCCAGCCCGAGCCTAACGCGCGGGGGGCCCAGGCAGCCTTCCTGGCGCCGGCCCGCGCGCGGTTACCTGCGTCGTCGGCAGGCGCCGCTGCGCTGCACCCTCCGCGCCGCCGCGCCCCGCGCCCGCTCGCCGGCCCGCCGTCGCTCCCAGCGCGCAGGCGCGGGACCTCGCACCACCGAGAGCCGGAGGGCGTAGTGGCTAGAGCGGCGGGCGCGCCTTTGCCACCCGAGAGACCGAGTCCGTTATTCCTCGGTGTTGGGGCCGAGAGTTCGATCCCGTTGCTTCCTGGTGTCGAGACTTTTAACGCGGGGCAGTAGGAAGTTATCGATGGCGCCACAGAGCTGTGGTCAGCCAATAGCTAGCTGCTGGTAAGGTCAGCATGCTGTGATCAGTAATAATGACAGTTTACATTTATAAAGTGCTTGCTGTGGGCTGACCATGTGCAAAGCATCTCCATGTGTAGTATCCCAGTCTTCCCAAATCCTTCAAGTTAAGTACAGTTGTCTTACTGATGGGGAAACTAGTTTTTAAAGAGGTCAAAGTAAGATCACACGGCGAGATAGACAAGCTATAAACTCAGGTCATCTGAAGCGAGAGCCTCCACCGCTAGCTCCTTAATTCTATTAACTTTTCCACCTTGTTGTCGCCTTTAAATAATAAAAACAAAACAAAAAGACAAGTTAATTTTAAAGATCTAATTGGCTTTATTAAATGATTCATGAGCAGAGCAGCATCTGACCTAGCAAGTAGAAAGATGCTCGGGAAAGGTATTCGAAAGGAAGGTTTTTATAAGCTGAGAAAGGGCACTATAAGAAAAGGAAATTATTTCGGGTTTAATGGATAAAGGGTGTTGTGATAGAAAACCTCATTTCCTTTGGGAAATGGAAAAGATTACCTCATTGATACAGACCAGAATATTCCCAATTAATCAGTTAGGACCACACTCCTGGGAAATGTTGAAACTGGGGAAGGTGGCGGGGTGGGGGGGGGTGCGGAAGGGGAAGAGGTTGTTAAAACAGCAATGAGGTTTGGTATTAAATTTTGGTGGACTCAGCAGAAGGTCCTCCATTTTGGAACCGAGATTTTCTTTTTAACCACCTTCATGAGACTTTTGGATTCCACCCAGCAGAAAACATCACTCTTTCCTCTAATTCTCCATTTCATGATTTGGTCATTTCTTGCTATCTTAGTTCATTTATGGTTTTTCTAGGTATGGGAGATACAACCATAAATAAAACCATAATATACAATTTAGTTCCCTTTTCTGATCTCTCCTGTAGGCATCTTCCTGAAAATGGCAACCTTGTCTTCCTTTTAACTCTGAATCAAAAGGTAAAGAGCAGAAGATTTGGATTTAAACACCTGGAGTAGGATCCATGCCGCACCATTAAGTAGTTCAGTGACCTTTAGCTGATTCTGTCACCTTTCTATGCCTTTGCTTTCTGCAACAGCAATTATTATTGAGCTCCACTGTGTGTCTGGAACAGTTCTAGGCACTAGGGTCACAGTAGTGAACAAAACAGATAAGGTCCTTGCTTTCTTGGAGAGCATATTTTAACAGGAGGAATAGATAACACATATTAAAGAGATAAACTAAGATAATTTCAGATAGTAACAAATGCTGTGAAGTTTAGGGGGAGAGCATCTGCCAAATTTGAGCTGAGGTCTGAAAGAACCCAGCATCAGAAATCATAGTTGAAGCAACTTTTTCTCTGGCTGGGCTGGTTCTAAGATGCTATTCTATATAGCTGTGATCAGAACAGTTGAGTCTTGTGCTCTCATGAAACACATTCCAGTGTGTTTTTGAATATGAAGGGTGAGGGTGGGAACAAAATAGAGTAGTGTGAGAATAATGGACTTAAGATGGCCTAACTTTAATGGATTGATCAGGGAAGCTTTCACTGAGGTTCTGAATAAGTTCTCCCAAAATAATAAGGTAATTTGAATCTGAAGAATAAAGCAGGCATATCCATTAATCACAATTAAAGTTTAAGTAATTTATATACAGAGGTCCTCAACACTAGAGCCAGTGACCAGGACTTTGTACAGGGGCCACACTACATCCTCTGATAGAGTCTTCTTGTATCCTGCTTAATATGTGTGAACTTTCTTATTGTGAACCTAGTGGTACGAGATGTGTGTATGGAACAGGTCATGAGTTTTTGTCCTACTAAGATCAATAGACAGAAACATGAAAGAGAGAATGGGGGAAATTGGCTCTCTTTTCAGCATAGGGCAATGGTATATACATACAAGATGGAGTTACTGTGGTTTTCCTATAGAGTTGGTAACATTTAAGCTGATACCTGATTTTGAAAAGGAGTTATTCATGTTAGGATCTTAAGGAAAAAAAAGTTTCAGGCAGAGAGACCTGCTGGAAAAATGCCCTAGACTGGAATAAGCTTGCTGTAATAAAAAAGAGATAAGAAATCAGTTTTGATGAATGTGGTAAGAAGTATAAAAGGCAAAGGTACAGATTATATAAGGTTTTTAAAAGAAATGTTTTCTCTAGCTTTATCGAGACATATAAGGTCTTACAAGCAAGCATAAGGAGCTGGGATTTTATTCTGAGCACAATGAAGAGCCATTGGAAACTTTAAAGCAGAGAAATGACATGATCTGACATGTTTCTATAAGAAAAATCATGGGGTTGGGGAGGCAGGAATAAGCAAAGAAATATAGGATGCTAAGAATGGAAGACCAGTTAGGAGGCCCTTTTTAGGTGAAAGATGATGTGACTTGTCCCAGAAGGGTAGTGGAGACGTATTACGCAAATTCAGGATATGGTTTAAAGGTAAAAATTTAGATAGGGAATGCAGGAAAGAAATCAAGGAAGATACCTAGAGTTTTGTCATAAACAACCAGGTTGTGCTAAGATGAGCAAAAGTGGAACGGCTATCAGAATTCTTCTAACTGATGGTTAGCATGTGCCAGATGTTGTGCTAGGCGTTTGATAGATTTTCTCCGATTAAAATTTCACAACACTACAGGTTAATACTTTGCCTGAGGTTTGTAAATAAAGCAACTTAGGCTCAGGGAAGGGACAGAGGGAGGGGACAGAACGGGGTCGAGGGGGGCGGCATGGTGTTCTTCTACGGGGTAGTAGGTGAAACTGAACCTGTCTTTATGCTTCCTAGGCGCCTTCTCTGTGAAAACAGGGCAATTTTCTATTTTTGTTAGGAGAAGGTAAAACACGATCTCCTAAGTGAGCCGTCCGTTGGAGGATTGACTTGAACTTGTCCCCGCCCATTCCGCCCACATCCCATTCAGCCAGTAGCTCAATATGAATGAAATTCCGAAATTGGCAGCTAAGATAAAACTTCCTTTTCGCAATTGGTCAGTGCTGGAGGAGGAGCTTCCTGATTGACAGAAAATCTCAGCGGGGCGGGAGGAACTTTGTCTATTTCGAGGGCCCTCCCGGGCACCATCTCCCCCAATGAACCTTTACGCAATTTTCTACGACCCGCGGATGCCGGGGCAGAGCAGATTCCTGGGGCAGCGCGACTATATGACGTTGCCCCTTCTAATTGGCCGGGAACCGCGACTGCAATTCCGAAATCTAACTGGCCGCCGACGCAGCCGCGGAGGTGAAGTGTACTGCGCTGATTGGCTGAGAGGCGCCGGCCGCGTGTGATGTCCTGAGCGGCGATTGGCTCTCGCCGGCTGGGGGCTTCTCTCCCGGGCACTCGGGACTCCCGGGAAGTGGACTGGCTGGGGAGGGGGCCGGCGAGCTGTCGCTGCGGACCAAGTGGGAGGCCCCGGCGTGAGGCGGCCTCTCAGCGTCGGGTGGGCTGGCGAGCCGGCGCGGCGGAAGAGAAGGCTGTGAGGAGTACGTGGGGCAAGGGCCGGCACAGAGGCCGGCACGGGAACCATGGCCCCGCAGAACCTGGGCACCTTCTGCCTGTTGCTGCTGTACCTCATCGGGGCGGTGATCGCCGGGTGAGGCGCGGGCACCGGGCTCGTGAGTCTTGGCTAGGGAGGAGGGCCGACGAGGAAGGGACGCTGCCACGCGGATGATGTGGAGAGGGGGATCGCCGTGGTGAGGCGGTGGGGGCAGAGGGGCGGGTAGTGTGGGATGGGCAGGAGGCTGTGTGTGGGGTGGGTGAGAGGGGCTTCAGTCAGAAGCCCTGTAGAGCTGGACTTGCCCAGAGCTGCAGAAGTTGGGTGCAGTGCCAGACACGACGAGAAGCGATGCTGGAAAATGTTGAGCCTGCCAGGAGACTTTGAGGGGCTAGCAGCATTAAAGTGGGTGGGGAAGTGAGGAAGACAGGTACGAAGGACATGCTGGAATAGAAGGAAATTGCATTGAGGCAGTAAAGCAGATCCTTTGGGGACCTTTGTACTTCCTAGCTTCTGGAGGTTTTGAGTCTAAGCTGTCACCGTGCTCCACTGCCTGCATGGGACGTTCTTAAGACGCTGAGTGGTATATAGTGAGCAGGAAGAGCCTTTCACTAACACTTAGGAGACTGGGGTTTTAGTCCACCCACCCCCATCCCATTTATGAATTATGTGACCTTGAAGGAATCATCTAAGTTCTCATGTGTAACTCGAGGATAATAATGTGCCACCTGAAGGGAATAGGACTCACCCACATCAACTTTTGAGGTCCTTCCAACTTTTAAGAATCATGATCCTGTAAGCCTGGTGAACACAGGATTAGATGAATGAAGCTCATATTTTAGAATGTGGGGAATAGTATGGTGGTAACTTCTGATACTTTATAGTTCGTGCTAAATGGAGAAAGTACTACCTAGCAGAGGTTTAAGTGCTTGTTGTCTCATAAATTTTTTTATTTTCATACATGCTTAAATTTTGGGTTTTATTCCTTGTGAAACATCTTAAAGTTTTTTTGTTTTTGTTTTTTTTTTTTTTTTTTACTTATCC